AAGAAGCGTTGATAATTCCCTGAAGCCAGGCTCGTGTACCCTCCCGGGCCGCCAGCACCAGCCAGGAGGGGCACGGATCCAGCAAACATGTGGCTGCACTCAGTCTCCCCAGGACGCTGTCCACGTCATCGGGAGTCACAGAGTCAAACTCCTCCCAAATAACGGTCTCAAGACCTGCTCCTGTCACCTCCCCCGGGGCTTATCTTATCTCATCTCATCTCATCTCATTTCGTCTCACCTCACCTCACCTCACCTCACCTCATTTGTCATTATCTGAACTTAGTAGTACGTATTAACAGTTTTAGTATTACACTACACAATTGAATGTTTAAGAATAGCATGTCATGAAAAAAATTCACAAACATCAATGTAATATTCCACTTGGTTGCAAAATCAGCTGGGTGATTTTGCTGACAAAACTTGCAAGGATTTTAAAACCATTTAGCATTCACTGATAATTTCCCCCTGCATTTTTAAGTAGAGATAATTGTTTAATGACAGCTATTTTTGTAGAATTAGTATTCATTCCTTGTTTTTCTTTGACTCTGTTATATATGAATCAGTATCTGCACTTTGGAGCAGTTTTCAAAAACAGTAAAATACATACACGGTTACAATAAAAAATAATAAACAAAAAAGATACTGATCTCCAATCCTTTCTCAAAAACTCTACAAACATGAGGTGCCACAAAAATTTTAAGAAATGGGAGTATGAAGGAAGACCATGCAAATCTGGGGGAATAAAAGCAACATACCTCATCCAGCTTTTCTAGCCATCCTTGATTGGAAGCAAGTTCTGCCATAAAAGCCTGATGCTTCAGCCATTTGCTATGCAAATTCCGTGCTTCATCATATGATGTATCTTGAGCAGTAAGCAACTTTTCTTCAATCCACATGGTAAGCTATCAATAAAATAGCATTATGTTTATAAAGCATGAAAAGTGGATATGCTTCAGACTCCTGTAGCATTTTGCTGAAAATAGAAACCTATGGTCTTTCACAGATATTCCCAGATGCTCCCTTACAGTAGTGTCCTTTCCAACTTGTTGCTATTCCTGCTTTTTTTAAAAAAAAAAATATTTGCCAATGGCAGGTTTTGCTAGAAAGGGAAATCCATGACCTAGCTAATCTACTTATTTACTTCCCTTTCTCCAGATAATTTCTGGGTTTCATATGAGCCCAAAATGATACCATGGTCGATGGTATCAAAAGCTGCTGAGAGGTCAAGAAGGGCAAGAATGGATGCACTACCCCTATCTTGCTCCCACCAGAGATGATCTACAAGTGTGACCAATGCCGTTTCTGCCCATAACTGAGCCTGAAACCCAGCTGAAAGCGGTCCAGATAATCCATTTTATCTAGGACCTTCTGAAGCTGCAGCACAACTACTTTTCCCACCACCTTCTCTTAAAAGGGAAGGGGAAAAATTGGATGGAAATCGTCCAGGCAGGTGGGATCCAGTGAAGGTTTCTTGAGGAAGGGACCGACCAAGGCTAACTTAAATGGTCCTGGAAATTTCCTTCCTGCAGCGATATATTAGTTACTGCCTAGACCAGGGGTGTCAAACTGCCGGCCCGCGGGCCAGATGCATCATAGCAAAACCGCGCCCACTCCATTGCCGGCAATGGCAAAAAAGTCACGATACGTCACGACACGTCACGTGACGTTGCAAGTTTGACCCCCCCCCTGGCCTAGACCCACCTGCAAGTCACTAACCAGGAAGGGCAAGGATCTAATAAGCAAATTGTTGCACTAACAGCCCCAAGGATCCTGTCCATTTCCTTAGGTCCAAACTACGCCCACATAACTGGGTGAATCCACTCCCCGGGCATCTCCAATGAACCTGCTCCATGCCTGGATTCCAACTTAGAACGAATTTGAGCGATCAGGTGCTTGACAAATTCCTCCACATGGCCCTGTAAATGGCAGCACTCTATGGATGCAGGAAGTGTGGAGAAATACAGTAGTGACATTTCGCTGCTCATACCTCCATGAGGTAGGCCTTAATAGCAGCTCTGACTTATGATCGGTCAGATTCATTCCTTGTTTTCCTCCAGTGGCGCTCTAGCAGTCTCTTGGCTCTTTTCAATATCCTCAACTCCTCTGTGAACCATGGGGAGTGTCAGCGATGGCAGCAGCAACACTCCCAACTGATCCCGCCAGCCCAACTTCAGGAACAGCGTCACATCGGGAAATTTGGGGAGCATAACCCCTGTACTCCAAAAGAGATTCCTGAATGGCAACTGCTAACATCCCCTCATCTGCCATGAGACCTTGGTTGGTGCCAAATCCTAAATCCAGCTGGACATATCTCTGAGAAGAGAAAACCCTTCTCTGGTGTCAGCCAGGTCTTAGTAATGCATGCCAAGTCAGCTTGTTTTTTGCCAATAAGGTCACAAATGAGTGTGGCCTTGTTGTTGACCAACCTGGCATTCATCTGCAGCAGCCGAAAATTTGGGCTTCTCAGGGTCTGTTACCCAGGGTCTGGGCATGAGCTAGGAGGGCCAGAACACACCGCTGGTATTAATTATTGCGGGTGTCTTTCCCTGTGATTGTCTACCCTCTTGCTCCCATTTCTACCCCTACCCATCACCACTTGAATTGATTGTCCCGCCTGACTCCCCATGAGGTGGGCTTCTATCCCCAGCCCTAAACTCCTCCCCCCTGCACTGCTGTGTCTGCCATTTTACCAGTCATGCCAACTCACACCAACCCTCAATGGGTAATTGGCAGAGGAATTACCTCCATGGCATTTTAGCTGAAGTCCTTACTCTCCCCAACCCCCACAATCATTCCCTATATTTCTACCCCCAAGCAATAAAATCTATCACTGGCATCATCCCCTCTTGGGGGAAAAACAGGATAAGCACAGACTCATCCTAGATTAGCAGGAGTAGCTAGTTCAAAATTCTTACCTCTTGGCAATTTTGTAGGAAATTCTGCAGGTCATTATTGTCCTTCAGTAACACAAACGCCTCTTGTGATTTTGTGACATTAGCCCTGTGTCTAGAAATGACAAAAATGTTACTGTTAAAGAAAAACGCTTTCCTACTTCCTCCACAATAGTGACTTGCCATTTCAGATTCAAGTTTTGCACTTGCAAACGAGAGGTCTGAATTCGCTGAACTCTCAGACGGACATTACCTTTCTTGAATCAGCTGAACTTTTTCCACAATTTTGTCAGAGTAAATGTTCCCGTCAGCAGCAAGCTTGCTCCCGGTTTCTATCAAGCCAGTTACCTTTTCTTCATTAGCTGCCATATTAGTGAGGAAATCTTCAAATTTCCGTATAACAGCTTCCGATGCTTCTAAGGTGTCTGGTGGCTCAGTGTGAGCTAGTGTATATTCCTAAACCAGAGGTTACAAAATATATATATATGAAAATAAGAACACAATATAGGCAGTTAAAAAATACTGATGTCATATGTGTGCCTTATACCACATTTAAAAATGATTTCAGTCCGTGCCTT